TTGGGGAAAATTTGAAAGTTATCTCAACTCAAAAATTCTCTTGCTTTGAATCATACATTAGCCGGTAATAGTTGGTTATATTTAATCGCATCTGTCAACAAAAGAAATCATCTAACTTTATCGACTATAGAAAAAAATTTTCAGTTTTATGCTAATAGCTTTGATAAATCACATTTATCTTATTTTTTTCGTCACTTAAGCAAGATTCTTCGTGAAGAGAAGTTAAACTGATCTTTTCTGAAACATTTCCATAGTCGAATGAATTAAAATAACGTTTTCGTTTCTGGATCAAGTATGACAGGATTAGCTGGAAATTACTGATCAGTGTTTCTTATGGAAATGTACATTAATTTAGTGTTTATATATTACATGAAACCACATTCTAGAGAATTCATTAATTCTGTATATGCATACAGAAGAAATTGACGCTATATATATATATATATATATATATATATATATATATATATATATATATATATATATATATATATTATCGTAAGTTTGGGAGAATTACCAGATTCTACTTCATTTTGCGCACTAATATTAGTATGGAATGATTCCTTTATTGAATATGCACATATGTCGTAGGAATGAAATAAAAAGGTTCTTATAAGGACGTTATAGGTTTGAATAAAAGGACTGGAAATTACTGTATAAATTTACATAATATATGTGCAATCGAAAATTATCAAAATGCATAGTCTTTAGCGTTTAGGTACGAAATATTGGAAAATTCAATATATGAAAATGTTTTTTATAAGAGTTAATTCATTGAAGCAAATTTATAACATAGTTCAATTTAGTAGTGAAAATGAATGCTAACTGCTTTGTTAGTCTAAAGCGAGCAACGAAATGTATCCTAAAGAACTTTGCTCCAGATTCTATTGTCTTGAGATTTGTGTATACTGAAAACGGAACATCCAAGTTGCTTCATAACTCTGTTTGTAGCTCTTTTAGGGTTACTGCTTGTCTAAAATGCAGGTAAAGGAGGATGGTTGGGCATAGGGTTGGCAACCCCATCCCGTAGGAAACAATCTTTCCAAAAAGTCACTAACCAGAATTAACAGTTTAAAAATTTAAACTCTACACTGGGAGTTGAAGGTAGAATTATGACGCCTGAAGATGAAAACCATGATTTTTCCGAAGTCATGAAGTTGACGCTCCTTCTAAAAGCCAGATTAATAATTAACATAGGTACATGAAAAGTCCGGACAATGTGTGAGACCGGGAGGACCAGTCAAACAACAAAGGAAATGATGAGGTACAACTTGGCGGTTCTCGGAATCAGTGAAATCTATTGTACGCAAGCTGGAAAGAATAGGGTGAATTCCGTAGAGATGTTGCTGTACTCCGACCACGAAGAGGAAAATGCTTCCAACACTCAGAGAGTTTCTCTTATTCTGTCCAAATAAGCACAAAATTCACTTATAGGATGGGAATCTCATGGATTCAGGATCATCAAAGCATCCTTCAAAACAAAGAAGGAAGAAATCACGATAAATATTATCCAGTGTTATGCACCCAGCAATGATAGCAATGAAGATAATAAAGATCAGTTCTCCTCGAGGCTGCAATCGATCATAGCGGAGTGCCCAGGAAACGGCCTGACAATCCTGATGGGAAATCTAAACGTCGAAGTCAGAACTGACAGCATCGGGTATAAAGATATCATGGACAACATGGACTGACTGGGAGAGACGAAAGGGAACGGTGACAGATTCACAAATTTATGTGCATTCAACAAAATGTTTATAGGTAGCACAATATTCCCACTCAAACGCATACACAAAGAGATATGGGTCTCATCGAATTACGCTACACAGAATCAGATCGATCATATTTGCATCAGTAAAAAATTTACAAGGTCAGATAAGACATGAGAACCAGGAGAGTAGCCGACATAGCTTCAGATCACCAACTACCTGGTGGTTGCTAAGACGAAACTAAAACTAGAGAAGTGCTAGACAACTGAAGACAAAGCATTATCAAGGTTCAACACAGCATACTGACAAACTCTAGGGATTCAGAATAACTATCAACAACACATTTCAAACGTCATAGGATCTACTGAAAGAAGGAAATACTACGATGGAGGACAACTGGAAAGGAATCAAATAAACACCAACATCATCGTGTCAGGATGTTCTGGGCTTCAAAAACATAATTAAAAACAATGGATCTCTATGCAAACCATGTACAAGATTCAAGAAAGGAAGAACAAGGAGACAACAATTCACAATAACCGAACAAGAACAAAGAACGTCAAGCCACAGGCTGAATGCACAGAAACAAACAAGCAAGTGAAGTGAAGCATTAGAATCGGCAAGCAGAAATATGTGGAATACCTGGCAATGACGTTTAGCCTCTAGACCACTGAGCCGGGTAGGGGTTAGATGTTAGAGATTAAGCATTAGAAGTTGGACGTTCGCGCGCGAGTCCGGAGTTTCTGAGTTCGAGTCCTGTGCGTAGGATCGCGAATGTGCACTGCTGAGGAGTCTTACACTAGGACAAAGTGGCAGTCCAGTGATTCCAGGTTTTCAGTGTTAGTCTAGCTTAGATCAACCCATGAATTTATCTTTTAAAGTAGGAGACATCGACCATCGAAAAAGCATTTATAGAATATTATTGACTGATAGTTATAACTTTAATGTATATTCAAAAGAAACTTGTTGCGATATTCTATAACCACTGACGAGAATCATATACTGTAACGCAATGTATAGTGGCAATCTAGATCATTATTTTTACTACTATCAACTTTATTGATTAAGATGATTGAAGAAGGCTATTAATTAAGGGCACAAAATAATGTTGACTGTACTTAGAATTTCCACACGTGATCTTGTTTCAACAAACCAGCTTATTTTAAAATGTACACTGTGATATAGACAAAAACAGCAAAATAATATGATCTGTTACTCACCAAATGTGCATAAGATGAATTTTATTTATGATGAGATTTCTAGAAGTCGCAGAACTCATAGAAAGTCTTTAATTTGACTCTGTGCTGAAGGATAAATTTACACTTTACACTAGCTTTCATCATTGACCAGTCTTCATTTATCATTTAGTTGAGATTATTTCTTTGTAAAAATGCAAGTCATAATAAAGAGAAATTCATGAAGCTTCAGCTTAACGACGAGAAGTCTTGCATAAGTGAGGGAAAAAGCCGTTTCTTGAACGTTAGTATATAGATCAAATATAATAATTATTTCATATAGTGAATAACTTGAGCGCTTTCAAACAAGTATGAATTGATATATTCCACTTCTGTATTAATTCAACTTCAAAAGTACGGATTATGAGTAACATCATCAATCATGGAAATAGTGAATAGTCTAGCTACATTGAATATTTTAAGCTTTCATCTTGATTATCATTACATAAATAATAAAAGCTTATGAAAATAATATAATGAACTACAGTTTGCTTAATGTTAATAGTTACAGTAAACCCAATAAAACATGTAAGATGTGTGTACACAACTATACTGTTACATTCATACATGCATGAATTTCCAAAAACATAATTACATTTAATTGTAGTACAACAATATCAAACTAGAGAAACTAATGAATGTTCACAATTAGAAAGCATCAAAATAATCAACATATAATGGCTACTCATATTTTTGTTTTTTATTTATTATACTAAACCAATTTCAGGAATTTTCATTTGGGGTTTTTTAGCAAAGCATATCTAAATTATAACTAGACAGTGATTTCTGATATCATTCAATGAATTTATTGAAATATTAATTAAATAGAGCACTTTACCAACTAAAAATAACCCAGCTAACTTCCAATACAAAAAGGCATGTATTTTTAACTAATCCATTATTATTATTATTATTATTATTATTATTATTATTATTAGTAGTAGTAGTAGTAGTAGTATTAAATTGATTAAATCCAGTAAACGAACATTTTATTTTAACATCAGATTGAATGTTTTATTTCCATATTGTATATCTTTATGATTTATGAAATTTCTATTTTTGGTTTCATAAACCGGAAATTTATACTTTTTTAAGACCTATCATTTAATCGGTATAAGTTAGACCTTTTTTCCCATGAAAAGTGTTCTATTTAATTCAGATCAGAAAAAAGCGCTAATATAAAAGATCGGTAAAGCGAATTTTTGAATATTTATTATTCATATAAGCAGACAGGGGTTTTGTGGAGATTGTAGTAATTTAATAATTGAATTCATGAGTCAATTGAATGCTAGACCACCATGAAAAGCATAGAAGCACTGGACGTCCGTCTCATTCTAGTATGGGACTCCTCAGTAGTGCGTATCCACGATCCTGCTTAGTGAGGTTTGAACCCAGGACCTGTCAGTCTTGCGCACGATGAAATGAATAGTAAAACTTATTATTAGTTGAAATGTGTAATGATTGCTTGCTATTTCCACTGGCAAATAGACAAAAACATTTTCGCAAAAGATTTTTATATCGGCTTGTTCGCCTTAGTTTTAAAACACATTATTTTTTACATTTGTTTTGTAATCTAAATATGATCGATTAATTATATTTTTATTAAAATCAAATGTTGAAGATATAACTCAGAATAACTTAGTCTAGTGAATCACTGAAAAATAAGTCATTATTTAACAGTTGTTTCTTTCTGATTCAATACTTCTTAAAAGAACATAGATGCAACTACAATATATATATATATATATATATATATATATATATCCAATACAAAACTCTATATATGGGAAAATAAACACTTCGAAATTAAAACGGCTTGTACCAAACTGATCAGTGTTATCTCTAACATATAACTACATTTATCATAATGTTACTATTTGTTGAGTAAACGCCTGCCATTAGTTTTTTTCTCTCTCAAAAACATCTTATATGGATATTGAAACCTTCAAAAGTTAGGCCGAAATTATTCATCTACCTCACATATCTAAACTAAGAAGGTCAATTGATCATACATACTAGTGTAAAGATGTATTATAAATATATCTCAAAATATAATAAATTAACAAAAAAATTGACTGTTTTATATATTTTTTTAAAAGTATACTTCATACTAGTACAGTGAATATTAATACTATTTGTTATAAGTTATATGATTCAATCTGAATACTAGAACTCAAAATGAATAGATCAGTAAATGTTAAATAACTTTATAATTATTCCCATTTATCTGAATAATAAAATAAGTTAAAATATCAAAAATAGAGTTTTGGAATTTTATCTGACCAATTAATTAATGTTCATTATATTGTTACTTGGAGTTGGAAGTAGTCGACGCGATGAAGTTGTTACTACATTTGATACTATTGTTTTAATTGGTTGATGTGTTTCAATATTTTTTTTCACATTTATATTTTTATCATTATTTTGGTTGGAATATTTGTTAAGTCTCTCACTACAATTGTTATTAGATACATCATTTTGAGGCACCAAATCGGCATTTGTGTCAGGTTTAATACTGTTAGACAATGGATGTGATAAGACTTCGTCAACCCATGCTACACTGCGCTGTGTACTAAAATTTAAAAAACACACGCAAAACAAGATGTTAGTTTCCTCCTATTATGTGAATTTCATAAGGATCGGAACATTAATCAGTTTAACGATAATATAATCTTAAAATATGTGCTGTGATTATAATTACTAAGTTATTTTTATTATTATCAAAGTCAGTGTTTAAAAAAGTAGTTCACCATTTATATCTTTAACAGACTTCATTGAATTAGAACATAAATACGAAGATCTATTTGGATGTTGGTGAGATTATAATTTATGGACGATCTTTGAGCGACACCAGATTGACCTTGGGAGTGTCCACTTAATAACCAGGACCAAATGAGTGTCATAAACCTGTGTAAGGAATTAGAATTATGATTTACAGTTGATAATTAAGGTTAGAAATTAGATTTGGGGTTTTCATCGCGAAGTGACATCAGCTATAATGCCAAAACTTTATTTATCCGAATGAATGAGTAAATTTTGGTCGAAAATCTGAGACGTGTTATCTTATACTTGATTGGTTCGTCCATAAATTATAGTCTCGCCTGGATGTTTATTTCAAAGAAGTTTGCCAAATTGTTATTGGTTAAATAAAGCACTTGCGAAAATCGCTATTTGCTAATGAGTCAAGTATAAACTCATAATCAACGGGGCTAAAATGAGAAAGCGTGGTATTATTCCATTATCAAATCTGACGTGCTTAAAGCTGTTTGGAATCTGATTAAGATAAATCAAGTAATAAGATATTATTATCAAGATTTGAATGGATGTGACGATCATTTATAACTTCTCTCTATTCATAAGCTTCAATAATTTCTTCAGTTGCCAACTATGGTAACGTACAGTTTATTATCACCCTTTGCTTACTCATCTACCTGTCTACCTAATATACATAAATATAATTACTTGCAAAGCACAAATGTCAACCAGAGTTACTCTGATTTCGAGTTGCCGTCCAAATAATTACAATTTTGCCGTAATCTGTAAATCCAATCACCATAAAAAACAACATGAGTTTAATTGCTACAAAGTTACTGACTAAAGCGGAGTTTATATAACGCGATTGGTTGATCTATTGAATATATTGTACAAACTATTATAGCTGTAGATTAAAGCATTTAATATGTAGATCGACTAAAATCCATTTCTCTAAAGCCTGTATTATCTAAAAGTTAAAATGATTTTATCAGCATAAATTTTGCTATAACTGGTTTCTTTTTTCAAGGCATATTAACATTTTTGTTTGGCGAATTGTAAATTGGAATCTGAAAAGTATCTTACTGATGAAAACTAGAAAAGCGGAATATTGAGCAATGTTTAACATCATGTTTATATAGTCTTGATGATGATGAAATTTTATTGACCAAGCTACTGTATGATCAGATGTCTGAATGACAGGAAAACTCTTGCTCTAAGTCTAAGCACAAAACGATTAAAGGTAGCTGACAGAATTCTGTGGATATAAGACACGTTCTAGTTATCAGTCTTAAACTAGATTCAGTCCCCTTAAGTTTACACTCACTCCATGTTGATGTGACCCACTCATTTATGACCTAGGTACAGGACTTCCTCCAGACATCTAACGATGTAAAAGTGAGTACATATAGACTTTTTAATACATTGAAATGAATATTAGAATTTCCAACTGTGTTATGTAGGGATTTCGAATGGAATAATTTCTATTGTAATTCAGTTTATATGTGTTAAACTTTCACAAAAGGAAGTTATTTACTTTACAGAAGTACGTTATGCTGGATAGTCTCTAATGGTGAAGGATTTATGGATCTTAAGCATGAACTCTTTAATTTATACCTGATAAACTAAAACCTGGTTATACTTTTCATTACTGATGATAATGATAAGAGAAGCCATATGACATATATAATGCTAAACATTTGGTGACAAAGTTGCTATTTATATGACGTTCTAATTAAAGGCATTCAAATAAATTAGTTATCTAACACGTTCACATTTAGTTGTACATGATATAAGAATAACTTCATCGAAGTTACAAAATCAGAGCTGTTCTCGAACTATATGTTCCCTAAATTGAGCTCAAGATTCAATAATTTGATAGTAATACTGTCAAATAGTACTTTTTCTTATATTAAATTAAGAGTAAACAATTAATCGGTGTATCCTATTTTTGAAGATATGAAACCGAAATGTCAAATTACTCAGCTGATTTAATAAAATATGATTGTGTGCATAAATTAAAATCATTTCTTGTATGATTAAATGTTTGTGTTGAAAGTTAAGTTTGCTTATAGTAAATATTTGAATTATTCAACTTATTCAAGAGATTATCCTACTGCAAATTTAACATCTATAAGAAGTTTTTAGACTTATGATCATCTTCAACATTGTTGTCCAGTAATTTTCCTTTGAAATGTTGTGAAATATTAAGAATATTATAATAGGCACTTCAACCAAGAGGAATTACATAATAATTCAACTGCTTGTAAAATTGACCATTAACTTACCTAGAATTTCTATTTGTTTTGTTACTTCTTTCAGACTTAGAACTTTCATTTATCAGCACGCCTTTAATTTGTCGTTTATCACTGATTCCTTTTTTGTCCTTATATTTGCAAACGCTACGATTTTCATGTTGCTGTGAACGATGTGTTTGAATTTCTTTATTATCTATAATTAAGTTCTCAGTTTTTACAGGTAATTCTTTAACACTGTCATTCGCATTTGTAATATGTACATGATTTCTAATTGCTGGTTTAACGATTTGAATTGGCATTGGTTTTGATAAATTAGGGTGAGAGTTTGTAAATGTAGCTTTGGGAGGACTTCTCTCTGAATATATATTTTTTGTAATAGTTGCTACACATTGGACAGGACATTCGTTAGAAGTATTAGTCCTTGAAGAAACTGTTAAAGGCACGAAATTGGGAGCTAAGTAGAATTCTTTGCAAAAAGTGGATTTGTTTAACAGAGGACTTTGTTGAGAATAGCACTGATCATTAACTGATTTTTCATTCACTACGTTTAATTGTTTGTTTATTTCAGTGACGTGATTTTCCCGTTGGTTTACCCTATCGCTTATCTCACAGTGTTTTTGAAAATTCCACTTGTCAATCGCTTGCCGAGCTTGTAATATACGATCAGAAAATCTTTCACGTGTCCTGCTGGAAGTTGCCAATCGAGAGTTATAGTGCATTTCATTATTATCTAAGGAGTTTGTTGATTTGGATTCTTTCCGTTCATAACCTTTCATTTGCTCTGTTTCACAGGTTTTGGATGAATTAAGGTCAGGAATTCTCATGCATTTTGGGATATCATGAAAATAAGTAGATTCTAATGGGTTTGTTAGTGTCGTTTCACGTGATATAGCTGGAATTAGTAAGCCGCTGTTCAGTATTTTACTCGTATCTGAAGAAGAGATAGATGGAAATAGATCTATATTATCTAAGTAGTATGAAGTAGAACTTGGTGCAGAATGAGGAGGTGGAAGTAGATCTGCTCTATTACTGATGCAGGAAGGCTGGCTGAAAGTAGTCTGATTGTAGAATTGATAGTCATCTTTAAGACATTCATTTGAATCATCTTTCTGATAACAGGGTTATTATCAAACAAAGTATAAAAAATTAAAGCTATTTATTAGCTTTGTTGGATAGAAAAATTTACTTTATATTGTCAAGACTAATTAGATACGCAATAAATATGTTTTTTTTCTAGGGTGGTAAGAGCTTTTTTGGTGGTTTCATGAGACAAGAATAAACTACACAATTCACTCTTTCTGTCTTTAGATAATCAGAGAACATAATTATGAATTCACTGATATAGTTAGACTAAAACATTAGACACTTTTAAGCGCATATACGTGCAAAATACTTACAAACATCTATGAAACAAATAACATTTCGCATTTTGGCTTAAATGTAACTAAATCTCATACAGAATACCTTGACGAATAAAACAACCATGGCAGCATGTTTACTTTATTGAATATCATTTCACGTTAATGACCTTTTGGACGTCGTCAGCTATTACAATTCAAAGGATTTTACCTTTCAGTTTAAGTATTACGTATGTTTTCATTTAAAAGGAAGTATCACGTTTAGAAATAAACATGTAAAATAAAGAGAACATAGGAATAAACCTATTTGCACGGTATCATACATCACAATAAGAAAATAACTTTAAATATACATGTAACGATTATGCTCTACTCAACACCATTAAGAATGTCAAAAACACTGCCATTCAAATTGTGATATCTACTAGTGAGAAATCTCAGTTATTCAGTTTAACCTAGAACAACCAAGTAATTTATTTCAATAGTTGAGATCATGAGTCAGTTGAAGTTAGACCACTACGGAAAACTCGGAAGCACTAGACGGCCATTTCGTCCTATTTTTGGACTCATCAGCAGTGCCCATCCACAATCTCGCCTGGTGAGATTCGTATCCAGAACATATCATTTCCACACACAAGTGCTTAATTTTTAGACCATAGCGGGCATCCAGCGGTGTCAATGCCTAACTTAAACTAATTCACATCCACCCTTGTTTTCAGTTAGTTACTATCTCACAACAGACCCAGTGGAATCCCACTGGTCATTGCTTCTCACTAGAACTCCAGAAAATATTTCTTGAAGCCAGTCACTAATGAGCATAATATGATAAGTTAATTCAGCTTAACTAAGCTTATCATATTACATATAATACGTTTTTATACCTTGAAACTGTAACAGTATTCGTCGTATCAGATAATCTGGCTGCTGAAATACTAAATAATTTGTGTGTTTATTAAGTATTAGTATAATTATAGTGTATGATGAATTCTACTATAGTGAATGTGGAAAAATATGCTATTAGATTTATTTGAAGAAACTATGTGAATTCCTATTCACAGATGTGATATATTCTGTTAATATTACATTACTGATAGGTGTGTATTTATTTGCCATTTAAAAAATAATTAAAAAAAGCCAATTCAATTTAGCTTCATTTTGTCTATCTCCAAAAACGTTTTATTACATATACACTTGCAGGTGAATTAATAATAACCTTCACTTTAATGAATAAAAATGATATTAAAAATTCCATTTACTATACATGAAGTCGTAGGTATGTAATTGATTCAGTCACATGAATTATATATGAGTAAATGTACCCTACCTAATGTTATCTTTGTAGTATCTTTCTTCATGACAAGTCATTATGTAGAAAGTAGGTTGCTACCATACATATCATTTAATAAAACATTATTAAAATAATGTTTACCAGAATAAGTGGTTAATCGGTAGTATGCACACTAATGTATATATATAGTCTTTGAAATTCTCTTTCATCTATTCTAGTTAGTTTCTTACCCTCAAAGAAGTATCTTACAATTCCCTATAATTTGGCTTCAATTTCTTTTGTGTGATAAAAAGCTAATTTTCTAAATAATATATTCTTGTTACGCATTAAGATAAATCATAACTTACCTTGACAGAGGTACAATTGCGTAACTCGGACCAATACTGTGATTCCATAGAGGATATTGATGAATTAAATGCAGAATCGTTTTTTTGTCCAAAGCCTTGGTTATAAACATTATCTGAATTCGTGTTAGGTACTTGACAAACGGATTGTTGAAATGTTCGTTTAAAGATTGTAGCCGCTGTCATTGCTGCTATCATTGCCAATGCTGAAACATTGGATGTAGTATTTGAAATCACATTATCAGCGTAATTACAACTATCATTATTAGAATAAGTAGGTAAGGAGTTATGTTTCATGAATGTTGGTAAACAAAACTCATGATCTAACCTATTATTAGTCAGTTTTCCCTCGGATTGTGCATTGAAATTGGTTTGACATTCACGATCAACCAATAATCTCACCATGTTTGAATTCAATGGAAATTTGTCGGAATAATGTTTTATTGTATGAGATAATCGTGAAGATGTATGGAGATTTGGTGTGTTATCAACGAGATGATGTGAAATATTTTCACGACATTCATAGCAACTATGATTGTCAGTCTCTTGATAAAGGTTTTCGTCTTTTGATTTCATCTTCTGTGTTTCAAATAACTGTTGCATATGCTGCACAAGTACCAATCTCGATTTCTGGATATAAAAATGTAAATAAATGATTTGAGGACAGATTTTTGAATAGTAAAAATACAAATTTCCTTCAGCATATTTAACCTGAGCTATATTCAATCTATCAAATTTGTGGCAAAAAGGAAGTGTGTTACTTATTTTACTAAATCTATCTTAAAATGAAACTACATATTACCAAAAAAAGCAAGATGGAATTATAAATTGAGTAGTTTTGATAACTTTAGATGAATATAAACCACGATAAGCTCTTAAATAAAACATCATAAGCTTCGAAATTTACGTCATTTCCACATTAATTACATGTATAATGATTTTTAGTATGGACAATACTTAATGCATATACATTGTCTTCATTTACATCCATTCTAAAACTACTTCTCCATTGTAACTAAAGGGTATAGGTTGACTTCATATGTGCATATTATTCTCGTTCTTATCATGTTAGTCAGAAGAAAATATCTAGAATCTAATTGAAGGCTTTCCTATTTTTAAATAGCTCAAACTGAATATTAATCAAGACAAATAACTTTTTATATCTAACGGATTGGATAGTTAATGTAAATCACGCCCAACTAATAAACAATAGTACAATTATCTAGATTTTTGTTTGTTTTTTGTTTTTTTTGGCAAAATATAATAAGCTAATTGTCAATCACACCCTTGATAGTCAAATCCTCTTAAATGAAAAAAATCTTTTTATGGAAAATTGTATTATTCAATAAATGAATGAAAGATGGTCAAAGTACTTCTAAAAGTACTTTACATATCATTTATGGATATAATTCAAAACTGAAGGAATTTAAAGTTCAAAATTTATCATGGTTAAAATTTCTAAGGACTTATAAAAGTGATAATATTGTTGGTAATTAAAAATACTTCTATTCTATACTTAGTTTTGTAATTTCAATAGTTGAGATCATGAGTCAATTGAAGCTAGATGACAATGGAAAACTTGAAAACACTGGACGGCTATTTTGTCCTATTATGGGACTTCTAGTTTTGTATTGATTATAAACAGAATAGAAATATATATTTTAATACATTTTGTTAAGACTAGTCTAATGGTTATGTGGTGTGTGCTACTTATGTAGACACAAATAGTATATGATGTTAGTCGTGAACAGAATGTCTGGCAGCAGAGAAACAAGAGGATCGAACAGTAAAGAATGGAAACAGAATGCAATTTGTATGAAAATGCGGGAACAATGAAGTCTGAGTCATTTTGAGACAATTGATGGACATTTTGCAAATTAAGCATTTAATCCATGATTGTTAGATTTTATTTAACAAGTCCTGTAATTTTGTGTCAAGTAAATTCGATTTTCCCCACCCGTGTTCTATTCACTACAGTTTTATAAAATAATTACCAAATTAAAGTTTATTATTATCAAGAAACAACATTTGAACAAATCGATTGGGTACATTATTAGTTACATAATTGTAACGGTTTTAAATCAGTTTACTAGTTAGACTGAAATATATATGTATATATACATATACATTTGTATCAACTGGTCTATTGCATGTGATATTCAATTTATGATGAATATCTATTTTTCATTCTTATTTAGGCAACGAAAAAAATTGAAATAATCCAGATAAAAATCAAGAAAAAAAGGAAAAAAGAAAACGTCATTTCATATTTCAGTCAAAAATTTACAAGGATTTTTTTCATTTTTATCTTATATTTTATTAGCACGAAATCTGTAAACATTGTTTTATAAAAAAGACATTGGTCAAAATTGTTTGATTATAAATTTTCTCTTGTGATTTACTAAAAAACAAAACAAAAGTATTTTATCTTAAATTAAACAAAACAAATTTGGCAGTAGATTTTTTGACAAGTTTAGTTTTATAATTTAAAATAATAGTCATGAACTTTTTGGAAAAAAATGTAGTTTTCAGATGAGAATTCTTTCAAATATTCAAAATGATGGAGGTTTGATAATAACAATTTACTAATCAAGATAACTGAAACACTTGTATTGTAATCTCTAAGTTTCTTAGATTGCCTTGGTATGTTTCATCAATATATTATGAAACCTAAAAATGTTAGATAATTAAATCATTTCAATAGTTAAGATCATGGGTCAGTTGAAGCTAGACCACCGTGAAAAACTTGGAAGCACTAGACAGCCGTTTCGTTCTATTGTGGGACTCCTCAGTAGTGTGCATCCACGACCCCGCCTCGCGGGATTCGAACCCAGGACCCAACAGTCATGCGCCAGGCACTTAGCCACTAGACCACTGAGCCGGCATCCAACGGCCGTTCAGTGCTTCCAGGTTTTCCATGCTGGTCTAGCTTCAACTGACTCATGATCTCAACTATTGACATTACTGCAATCTCCACAAAACCCCTTCTGATACTAATTCTATCATTGTCTACTAAGTATATTTTATGTAGTAATATCAGTGTTAAACTCATATCTAAATTTCTGGAAAATTGTCCATATAACTAGTAAATGACACATCTCGGTAGTTGAATTATTGCATTTTTTACCGACACGTAAATAATTCATCTAAATAATTTTTATAATTCTTGATCTGAGAACCTTTAATTGATTTATATTATTATGCAATTAAACGTCAGTTGACTATATATACGATTTATGCAATGTAAATCTGAGATGAATTATTATGGTCTATAAGACTTCGTGAGTACATTTTACTTCATCTGCTTGAATGAAGCTAACTAAATCACAAAAACTATCAATGCGTATTAAAATACAAAAGTCAATAAAAACTTGTTAAATTTTGTTTCTCCCGTAGGCAAAATAACACTGAAAACTTAGTGAAACTACATATTATTATTTAGAAAGTTTATCTGTACTTTGCCGGCTCTGTGTACAAAAGACGTATATTTAGTTTATCATTTTCTCGACCGTGCAATCTGTTTTATAAAGTGGCAAGTATTATCTGGAATTAATTATTCTGACTACGTTAATTGTATTAACTTGTCAGTATTTACAAAGTAATTTCCATTAGGTTCAAACATTTTTTTCGTATTAAGCACAATTACAGTGCGTGGTAATCGGTTCACTTTTCACTTGTCAGACAGACATTTGTCTGATCTTTGATAGAGGGTGCTGAGTGTATGTCCCTAAACAGTCTTATATCAGGACGAAACAGCTGTCATGTACTACCTGGTTGGAAAAGATACTCCAAATGCTATTCATCTGTGAAGAATACAATCTATAATTTTGATACTGTCTACGGTTTCTAATTTATTATTGTGACATAAAGACAGACACAGGAGTGAAACATACAATCTCTATATTCAGATACGAAGTTTTAGCCCACAAAATTATTCCCAAAGAAGTTCTTTTTAAGTTCTCTATCTTATTCCCCATATAGCTGGAGTTTTCAGAATATAAGCTCCTTCGAACGACTGACAGAGGAAATATTAAACCTAGATCTTCCACTCAGTTTCTGACACTACGCTTTAATTAACACGAAAATTCATTTTATGAAGTTGTGGAATTTGTAGTTTTAACTCAAATCAAGTAAAGTTTCTAAATAATTAATGTTTCATTAACTTGAATCATTAAGAAATAAATCATTCTGCAACAGACGAAAGGGCCATTCAATTACTGAAAATACAAACGACCAACATAGCATAATCAATTACCTTCAAACTTTGTATCCTTGACATCAATTGCAGTTGTCGATTTCTGAGAAATTCCAAGCGTTCCATTAACTGATCGTTATTCAGCTGGTATATTCGTTGAGAGCCCTCGGACGATGGTTCACAGTCACTTTTACACCAGGAGGATGAAGTGCTAGAACCAGATATACTAGAGTTATGATGATGAACACTACTACATGAAGCTATTTTTCTATGAAGAGCCTGAGGCGATTTGAAGGAACTTTGTGTAATATTTGAATGTTCTTTTAAAAGGCTTATAGCATCGTTAGTTTTCTCGCTTTCAATTTGCAGTCTTTCTATCTCTTTTATAATTTCCCTGAAATTTAAATGTAACTTATTATTCCATCAGACAACTGATACAAAGTACAAGACTATTTCATTTAAATGAAGAAACGTGAATAATTTTTCGTCAATCAGGACAATTGGCAATGTAGCCAATTTAATGAAAATCTAAATAAATTGCTAGACCAGTTTTCAAAATGAGAATAAAATTACTTTTGTCAATAAGATACTAGTAACTAGACCACTTGATGTGTTATAGATGTTCAATATTGAAGTAATTAGTGAAAGAAAACGTAAAATGAACTACATAAATTGATGCATCAAACATGAAGATATGAAAAATTCTTGGTTTTTTATCGGCTTAGTAACTGTGGTGATACAATTCGTACATTAGTTTAGAACCCCTTGATTTCACATTATTAATGATATAGTTTTATTCGTTATGACATAAATTTTACATGCAACAATGTTACTAGTTATGATATTACCATAAAGCATTGTGGAATATCTTACGTATATAAGTGTGAATACTAGAATTAACAAAGTCAATAGCCTCCTGACCCGTAGTGTTTCTATATAGACCAATAGAAATCTTTGTTATTATACCATCATTTTTGTGTTGAGACTATTGCCATATATTCTTTGGACAATGAACATTAAGATAGCGAAAAGTAATAGCATAAAATTATTATTCTTTCTGACAAAAAAGTAATATCACTGTTTATTGCCAATTAGATTTGCGATTTTATGGAGTTGATAAGACAAATGGATAAAACACACCCCATAACTGTTATTCGTCTTTCTAATAGCTACTGTGATTATACATGACAAAGAACACCATACAATTTACTAACGCAACGTTTTTACAGTTAATGAAATAAATACAATGACTGAATGAAATGTACATTGTAAATTCACTAAACAAACTATGAAGGCTTTAGTTCATTTTCCTTTTGAAAAAAGAAAACTAATTACCATAATAGGCCTTTGACTTGATAGAGTACGATTTGAAACAATGAAGTTTAATAGCCTTCAACTCAGTGTAGAAAACATTATCTTCAAAAATAACAATAAAACGAACAGTTTTATAATGATTTAGGACAAACTACCGTTTATTAACGTAATGATATTCTTTCTTGTCAAACTGATTATTATTTCAATAAATTAACATTAGATTTTGTGAAGAAATTAACCAGTGATCAAATTGAAGATAAATATATCTAACAACAAGAAAACAACATCTAGTTGTACGTGGCGGGTATAAATTCTTTTTTTTTTAAATGGATGAAGTAGGCAACAAAAACAATTATTACGATTTGTAAAAAGATGTTTGAAAAATTAATGGTGTGAGTGAAAACACAATAAGCACTGAGTTACTTTGGCTAGAATAATATATGTGGGTGAGACTATATATGCTGTGATTATAATTACTAAGTTATTTTTATTATTATCAAAGTCAGTGTTTAAAAAAGTAGTTCACCATTTATATCTTTAACAGACTTCATTGAATTAGAACATAAATACGAAGATCTATTTGGATGTTGGTGAGATTATAATTTATGGACGATCTTTGAGCGACACCAGATTGACCTTGGGAGTGTCCGCTTAATAACCAGGACCAAATGAGTGTCATAAACCTGTGTAAGGAATTAGAATTATGATTTACAGTGCATAAAAAATGATATTCTTTAGATAACATACATTTCTACAAATACTTTTCAGATGATTCGAAGTTTTTGTAAATTCGAACTAAACTTATCATGAATGACATAGACGCGATCGACATGAAAATTCATGCTGCAAATTATTAGTCCCTCTGTATAACCTTTACTTATTTCAGTTGGGCATAGACTTTCGTCGCTAAATTGATTATTGTTTGACGTCTAGTCCATAAATTCTTATTGGATTATCAAGTCGAAATACCTAGTTCTCTAATTGAAATCAAAAACATTCAGTTTACAAAATTATCAAACAGTCTAAAAAAATTTAATATTTTCTTAAAACCTGAATTTGAATTAACAAAATTACTAAATACACTACCTGTTATAGGCTTCTATTTTAAGTATCATATTCTTTTGTTCCTCTGTGAAATTATTTGGGCTGACATCACCAGTTGTATCACTATTAGAGATCTAAAAATGAAATAAATTATAAATTATATTTATATTTATTAAAGCATGTGATTTGAACAAAACGTAAATATGAGATAATAATAAGAATATAGGGAGTGTGAATGAACGTTTAAATTCGAGTTTAAGGTTGTGAATTACTAAAACAAATAAATAATATGATTCATTCAAACAAATTATTTGCGGCAATTAACATAATATCATCGAATTTCAGAAATCTTACATGAATGAAATTTGAACACACTTTTAATTTTTCATTTTCACTTTCATCGACCTATAACATGGGGTTAATAAATGGGTTCATAACATTACATCTGATAAATTACTCTGTGACCTTCTCATATCAGTTATTTGTGAAACGACAATAAGGGTTCCTATTCTATTGAAATGATCACTAATTTTGATCTGGCGGCAGTTTGCTCCTAAGATTAACATTTTTCAATGTTTAGTTAACCTATAATGTTTATTGAATTTCTTTTCTGTATCATAAAGACGGCTTTGAAAGTTATTACCTTAGGTCAAATAGTCATTCTGTCAAAAATCACTTGTACC